CCCCCCCCCCCCCCAATCAAATAGAATGGATTTATCACATTTTAAAGCATAAAATTTTTGTTTCGCATTCGTTATATTAATTTCGAAAAGGCCGATTATTTAGGCCGTAGTAACTCAACGATGGCGACAATGCCACAAAAGCAGGGTTTTGGCACATGATTATCAACCATTACGACAGTACAGGGTTTTTAAAAAGTTTTTAAAATGTAACAATATTTAACCAAAATAGCATTTATAACTCATACGCGGTTCAATTTTTTTTTTTTTTTTTTAATTTTTAAATTTTTTAAAATGAATAATTATAATTATAAAGATATTTCTTATATTAATATTATTGAATATGTCAACTGCAAGTAGGCTATAGGCCTACTTATTTTGTATCAACCACTGATTATTTCAGTTTCAGAAATTCCTTCCCCCGAGAGTGCGTTAACTGATTAACTAAAAGTACAGGTATACGTTTCATTTAATCATTTAATTTTTAAAAATTTAAAAGATATCTGCGAAATCTATTAATCACTCTAGAATAGAAATCTAAATTTAACTAGATTTGTAATGAGAATCTGGGAATTTCCTGTTACGATTATTTATGTCATTGTTAACTTTTGGGAACCTCATAAGAAATTTACGATTGCCAAAATCACATGGAATTTGATTAACATCGCCACTGGACGACACTGTAGCCTTTCTTGTTGAGAAGTTAAGTCTAGCTAGATGAAACTAGGCATGATCTAAATCCTGCCTTTAAATCAAATGCAAATATTTTGACAACCCCAGTCAGACCGGCACTTTCAGCTTCAGTATTTTCAATTCACGACTCACTTAAAACTATTTACTAATAATTTAGTTGCGTTTACATTAATTACTTCCTAATACCTAATCATACTAAATTAAAGTATCTAACACTAGTCAGTGTTAAAAGTTAAAGGGATTGTTGCAATATGAATATCAACCAGAATATAAGTATGCAATTGCAATCAACAATGACACAATTCCCTTCCTCCATGCTAGGAACATTGGACATGCAAATGCAAGTCAATCCTCAAATGCTTAAAGAAAATCCATTCGCATTAGAACAAATGTTTCAAGCAGTTTTAGAAACTATGAAGCAAAATCCTCAAATGGCTACAGTATTACTGCCTACTGGACTGTCCCCAAATAATGCTCTATTAAAAGACCAACCAGAAAAAAATAATATACATTCTTTACAAAGAAACATTCAACAAATTAAAACTGATATTACCAAAAGCCTTAAAATGTCAAGGTATGAAAAACTACTGATTAGCGATAAATTATTTTTAGAGGAATGGAAGAAAAGTGAGACAGCTATTGATGACATTGATAACACCACTGATTTGAGTTTACTTATGGTTTGTGCTGTACTTGGAAACACTGAACTGGGATATAAGCTGCTGGAAGAAGGAGCACAAGTTGACTTGAATAATAAAGCCGGCCACACTGCACTCATCTTTGCTTGTATTCTCGGTGAGGAAGAATTTCTTGAATTATTGCTAAAATATAAAGCAGATGTAAATGTTATTGATAAAAATCAAGTCAGCGCTCTAATTCATGCCACACTTTCTGCTAATTTCGAAATAGTCAAAATATTATTACAGCATAAAGCAGATATTCAAAGCTGTACCCTAGGAGGTCATGATGCTCTTCATATTGCTGCAGAAAAGGGGTTGACTGAAATTTTAGATTGGCTTCTTGTTAAAGGAAAAGCAGATTTGGAATCTAAAGACTTAAATGGCTTTACACCACTTATGAGAAGTGCATTCCATAACCATTCTCAAATTGCTCAGCTGCTGGTGGACAATGGTGTAGATGTCAATGTAGCAAACAGTGCAGGAAACACAGCAGTACACATATATGCAGACAACAAAGGAATTGACTGTTTAAAAATTATTTTAAAACATGGTGCTGATGTTAACTACCCAAATAAATCCGGCATCACTCCCCTCATGTTTGCTGCATTAAAAGATGACACACAAATAGTTGAGAAGTTATTGAAAGATAAAACTCTCAATTCAATAGATGCTAGAGATAAACTAGGTCGAACAGCTTTGCACTATAGTGCTTCTCAAGGAAAACACAGAGTTATCGCAAGATTAATTAAAGCCAAAGCAAATTTAAATATTGCAGATAAGAAAGGTCTCACACCATTCATGTATGCTTGTGTGACTGGCAATGAAATGGCGATTTCCACCTTCATGAAATGTAAAAATTATTTCAACCATGAATATTTTATGGCTTTGTTTATAAGTGTGATAAACAACCATGAACAAGTTGTCAAGACACTGCTGTCACAGTTCAAGAATGATCCCAAGCCTCTTAGTATAACTTATGAATGGCGTCAATTGGGACCATATATTCCACTACTGCATGCAGCGTCTCAAGTTGGAAACAGGGAAATTATGAAATTACTTTTAAAAAATGGTGAAGAGGTTAATGCTGTAAATGCCCTCGGTCAAACTGCCTTAATGGTGGGAGTTATCCTTGGACACCAGGATATTGTCCAGATACTGATATCTCATACAGCTGATGTGAATATTTCAGACATAAATGGTGACACACCACTCATTATTGCTTCTTTAAATGGGCACACGGAAATTGTAAAATTTCTGTTAAAAGCAAAAGCATCAACACATTTGTCAAATGCTCAAAGTAGAACAGCTCTAATGCAAGCAGCTTGCAGTGGTAAATTAGATGTCATAAAACTGCTTAATGAACCAGCAAGGAACCTTAATGACATGGAAACTGAGGGTTGGACAGCATTAATGTTATCTGCTCAGCTTGGACACACCCAAATTGTTAAATACCTGCTTGAAAAAGGTGCCTCACATACAAAGAGATCAAGGCAAGGTGTAACTGCTTTGATTATTGCCGCTGGAAACGGTAGAGCAGCAACTGTTGAAGAATTAATTAACCATGGAGCACTAGTTGATGAAAAAGGTTTCAATGGCATGACACCATTGTTAATTTCAGCTCAGTGTGGCCATGGGAATGTTGCAGACATTTTGATAAAAAAAGATGCTGATGTAAACAGTACTTGCAGTGCAATAGCTTACAATACACCACTTGCTTTGAGTGTTATGCGTGGCGACAAAGTTATTGTAGCAAGCCTGTTAGAGGCTAAAGCAAATACCAACATTGTCAACTCTGATGGATTCAGTCCACTGCACTTGGCTTGCATTGGTAGACACCCAGATATAGTTAAAATGTTGATCAACTCTGGTGCCCAAGTTGATAAGGTTGACAAAAACATGAGAACACCTTTGATGTACGCAGCAGAGAAAGGAGACGGAGAAAGTATTAGATTTCTCCTACAGAAAGGAGTAGATTGTAATCTTTATGACTCAAAAGGTTGGAATCCGCTTATGCTTTGCTCTCAACATGGCCTAACTGCTTGCATGGAAATTTTTTTGGGACAAACTCGAGTAAATATTGAAGCTAAAGAAACATCAGGACACACAGTTTTGAGTATATGTGCTGCTAATGGTCTTAGAGATGCCATTTGTTTGTTGCTTTCTAAGGGAGCCGATCCAAATACTTCAAATAATCTAGGATTCACTCCCTTAATGCTTAGCGCAATCAATGGCCATCTTGAAGTGGTCAGAACTTTGTTGAACAATACATTCAAAAAGGCATCATTAGAAATGTTAGAGCCAGCTGAAAATAGAACAGCTCTTCTCCTAGCAGCTCAAAGTAATCGAGCAAATGTAGTCAAGGCTTTGATTGATGCTAAAGCAAACATAAACTCAAAGACCAAAGCAAATCTTACAGCATTGCACATAAGTGTTAGGCTGGGCAATGCAGAAGTTGTTGCTGAGCTTACAGAGAAGAAAGCAGATCTTGAAATAGCCGATCTGTCTGGCAACACGCCACTGCTAACCTGTGCTGTGAGTGGGACCCACCATGTAATGAAACACCTCCTGGACTTTGGTGCTGATGCCAGTCACAAGAATCACAATGGTGAAACTGCCCTTCAGATCAGCATTGCGAAGAAATGTCGCCAGGCTGTCAGACTACTCTTAGATAGAAGCAACATGTCGGAATCAGAGAAACAAATATTTGTTGCTATGGCCAGAGGAGACCCTGTGATAGAGGGAATGATTCAACAATTTACAGTTCTGTCAGATGATGATGATGGTGAGTTTATTAACTCAATGATTCCTAATTATCATGAACCTCAATAAAATTCTTTGACATTTTATCAAATGACCTTAACTAAATAGGCCTACTATTTAAGCATAGTGTAATACACCACACTTTTTCTTTCATATTTGGGAGTGATTGGCCTAAGATGTGAGGCCAATAAGTTGACAGAACTCAATGATTTTATTGTTTTATTTCATATTCAAATAAAAGCATTTTATTAATTTTGCAAAAACAAAAAAAGAATAATGTGACAATTTCTTGTATATCCTTACACAAAATTTCTACTGCCATCATCTGTACGGGCTCTTAAGTAATGAGATTTAGTACATATTGAGGTCTTAATTTTTTATTTTAAAAAAATAACTTTCTTTATTTTTGTTCCCTTTTAATCCATTAACACTACAGATTTAAAACATTAAAAATTTTCGTTAAGTCAGCCAATCAATTTTTACTTTCAACTTTTAGTAACAAAATAAGACAAGACATATTAATTTATTTTGTGCAAAATATCATTCAATCTTCTATTTTGTATTTTTTTAAAATTATGCAGTAGTTATTTCAGGAAATGTTACTATTTAAACATTAAACATCAATTTTTAAGATGTTCAAGGTGAAGAATTTATGGGAGCAGTTTTTTCAAAACCCAGCATCATAAAAAGATATTAAACTTTAGACTGATTTCCAAATTAGAAGAATCCCCATACCCCTCACCTACCACCCCTCACCCCCACCATTTCAATCTATTTACTGTAATTTATGATTTAGCAATGGGCCTAACATAAGATGCATTTCATCACTTTCAGTTCATCATCATTTAAACATCAGTTTAAGATAAAAAGGGTTAGGACAGATTACTAATCGAATAAAATGTGATTACAGGTTACCACAGCTTTTATGTTTAAAGGGATTGAAAGAGAATTATTGGTAATATTTGTAATTAAAATATGCAGGAGCCCCTCGTGTGAGAAGTGCAATAAAAAAAACTTCAGACGAGTTACCTGTGACAACTTTAAACACCGATCCAGTTGACTCAAGGTAAGTTAATAAGATAAGATAAGATAAGATATTCTTTTATTGATCAATCCAAATAAATGGAAATATTTTTTAAAATTAAATTTTACAAGTTCATTTTCAGCACGTAACTAAATGCATTTTTTAAAACATTTTACGATTTAAACACAAGTATTTCTCTAGCATAAAAATCAGCCATCCTTATCATGCACCCCAAAAAAATAATAATGAAAATAAAAATTATTTCCCTTGCTGGTCATAATGACTTAATTAAAGATCATTTAGATTTGTTAACTGCTGGGGAGAACGCTGGTAAATTTTAAATAAGTTGATCTGATGACTCCAATAAAGATGTGTAATGTATGTGACACAGGTCTTTGACTTTTGTTTCTAATCTGATCATTTTGTTAAATATTAAACATTATTTTGTGAAATGTTCAATTACTGGTATGTCACGTGTCTATTCAATTATATTGTAATGTTTATCAATTGTAATGTAAAGTATATCTCTTGTAATAAATAAATAATATATATCTCTCTCTATATATATATACATTTATTTATATATATGTATATTTATTTATTTTAAATATCTATTAATATTTACATATTTATATACAAATGTTATTGTAAAAATCCATTTCAAATCATAATAAAATCAAAACTGTTGTTCTTTTTAAATTTAGATGACATTTTAAGTTTAGCATAGTGCCCAAATGAATGTGAGGTTTATTTCCTTATTGACAGTTCAACTGAAGTGGAGACCTTAGAAGAAAGGAAAGTCATGAACATCTATGTCAATACAGATGAGAAAGCCTCATTCGATTTCAGTAAAGCTAACATTCAAAACTTGTAAGTCTTATGGAACTATCTAAAATTATAATAAGTGGACCTTGTCTGCCCTCTCTCATTGCGCACCCTGATGCACTCTCATTTGCTGCTTCCACCATCATATGCTTGATTACTTACTCACCAAATGCATACAAAAGAACTCATTCTCCAATAAACTCCTTCTTTATTGATGCATGTGTCTCTATGAAGGTATTTAGAAAATTCTTAAGACTTTATAGAGTCAATACATCTAAGCATTGGTGGAGCTATGGGTCACCATCTGGAATTATTATTATAGATTATGCACCATATTTTTCATCACAGTATGGTTGCATAGTCCCAGCTAGCTAATTATATCTGTCAATAAGATTTAGGGAAAAAAATGTAATCTTTCTAGAAAAATAAATAAAAAGTGTGAAAAATTAGTAGGGTAGTGGAGTAGTGATCTATCCCCTGGTAAACCCATTAATATTGTATCCACTTGTTATGTCCACTACTTCTTCCTATACTCTCTAAGAATGTATGTTAGTCTAAGAATATATGTTGGAGGAAATGTACCTGTCCTTTTGCCTTCTTTCATTTCTTTCAGTAGGTATCTCGTATTTATTTCATGACCTTTTTTAAAAAAACAACTGATTGAAGAATTTTAGAGAAAGCAGACAAGACCCATGGTGGAGGTTAGGTCGCAGGCAGCAGAGTCTAGTGACACAGATGCGTTCAGAGCACTGTCCCATCGGCACATTTTTCCAAAGGCTAGATAATAACAGAGACCCTTCCTGCCAGCATTGCAGCCAGGACCTAGAAACACTAGCGCATCTGTTGACCAAATGTCCCTCACTAGATGTTTCGAGGGAAGGCCAGGGCAGTTGGAGAGCCCTACGTAAGGAAAATGTTATATGACACAGCTCAGCAGATGGAGCTGGTTGCCAATGTACCAGCCGGGGTCATAATAGAATAATCTCAGACCTTCCCCAGAATGTGTGCGTTAGAGCAAACTATTTATTTTGTGTTTTTTCTTGTTTGATTAAAGCTAAACAATCATCCTAAGCTAAATAGCAGACCTACTGTCTTATTAAAATGACTTTATCTAACACAAGTTAATGCGGCTATGTATTGTAAATACTGGACAAGGCTGATGTGGAATTTCCAGCATCAGTTGGTGTGTGAATTAAGAACAATGTTTTTTGCGTATCCATCCACTGAATGCAAACTCCTTCATCCGTTTGACAAAAGAAAAGTTCATTATTATAAGTTTGTGGACTTATCATTTCAGAGTTATCAACCAAAACAGCAAAACCGTTGTAGAAAACACTCCAAAAGTGGCCATTGGTGAAAGGAGCAGCACAGTGACTTGTCATAACTCAATGAAAGCGAGAAACATGGCTGTAAATGACAGTACCATCATTGATCGATCTGGTGACTCAAATTAACCACCAGAAGTATTCATTCAGAGACTGATGTAAGTTTAATTTTTTTATATGGATGTGAATATAAATCTAGATTCTCCTCACTGGTGACTGGAAATAGGGAAAAGATTGGTCTTGCACTTTTTATTTATTTGTTCAAAGTCTTGCAGATCTTCGATACACTAATAATAATTTTTATTCATCAGGATCTGGACGAATAAAAGGACTTTATGACTGGAATAACAATATATATGTAAATTCAATCCTGCGATCCTTTGTAAAGAGGGTTATATATCCTGTTGTTAAGTACCTAGTAGCTTATCAGTCTTGTATGCTCACAGTAGTCGGCTTCAGTTGAAACTGGAAATTTAAAAAAAATGTTTATCCAAATATTTTTCATTGAGTTTTGCATCCATTGCACTGAATGTTGGTAAGACTTTGTTACATTAAAAACAGTGCTCCTGTCAACAAAATGTTTTTAAGATAAAAACTCAGCTATTTTTGTTATTCTGCTAAGGATTTTACAATGTAAATTCAAGAAAGATTTATTTCTTTATTTGACTAAATTATTTCCTTGGTAACTAGTTTACCTCTTTAATGCTTATTAATGCTTCTACTTATATTATACTATATAATTCATTGATGAAGAACAATAATTTTACCTTATTAAATATTTTATGTCATATTCATATACATTATGCACAATCATAAAAATGTGCAATTACTTGGATTTATTTCCACCACTTACAAACAATGAAAACTGTGCCATAGACTGTATCATTTCTTTGTTGTTTAGGGTGAGATTAATTCAATACAGATTTTATTTTGATTTTTATAACTTCAGTTTAATAATTGTTGTTTGTTTTAAGGTTATTTTATATGAATGATTCAATATTTGATCACAACATTTTTTTTTCATTTTTATTCTTGAACCAGGTCTAGAATTGAATAAAGCCACACATCTTCTTAATATAGATTTTAAAACATAAAATTGCCCTCAGTGTATGTTGATTTTAAAATTGCTCTCCCTTTACGTCATAATTTGTCAATGTATTGGGAATGACAAGAAATTACAATTTATATTTTTGTTAAATGAAAGTGAAATAACCATTTTAAAAAACAAAGCTAAGATTTTTAATCTGATGCCCGGGTCATTTTTTATCTGATGCCCAGGGACATCTTTTATCTCATGCCCAGGGACATCTTTTATCTCATGCCCAGGGACATTTTTTATCTGATGCCCAGGGACATCTTTTATCTCATGCTCAGGGACATTTTTATCTGATGCCCAGGGACATTTTTTATCTGATGCCCAGGGACATTTTTTATCTGAAGCCCAGGGACATTTTTTACCTCCAAGATGTTAGATTTTAATGCTCGGTTTAAAAAATAATTTAAAAACAATAAATGTAATTTGGTATTTCATGACAAATGTTTACCTACTAACTTATTTTACTTATTATATTTTGTGAAGAGAAACAAAAATAAAGGGGGGGGGGAGGTACAGCCTTTCCTTTAATAATAAGACACAAAAAAATGACA